TCTATAGTGATAGTTGAGTTTTTCTAAGATGTTTATTTTTGCCGAATTTGGTAAAAGGGATCAGCAGGAAGAGTTGAATTGATCAAAATTATAATTATTAAATATATAATTTTTAAAAATTAACTATAATTTTTTAAATTTGATAGAATTTAGAAAAAAGAAAAAACAACAAGTAAATCTTTATTCAAGTCAAATTTAAATCAGAACAATTTCAATAATAATGCTAAACGTAAAAAATAATAAAATAAATTATTTAAAATTTATTTGACTAATAGTAATTTTATATATAATAAAATGTACTGTATATTAATATATTAAATTGATACATATATGATATATAATAATTATAATATTAGAAATTTAAGGAATCCTAAGTAGCAATTAGTAAGAAATAATAAAAAAGATATCACAATAATAGATACTAGAGTTCTAATGAACTTTATAAAAGTAAAAATAGTGTAATATAACAATTAAATAGATAATTCTTGTGATTGCAAATGTTAGATAACTATAATATTTTGCATAAAACTAAGTCAGCTATATGCAAAACACAGAAAATTCTAATAAGTTTCTTGTCAAGAATAAATTAATTCTAAGGATCTTGAAGTTATTGGATACTTTAGATGGGTGTAACCCAAAAGATGTTTCTATAATTACAAGTTAGACTACATATACAGAGAGTTTAAATAGGCAAGACCTATAATTGGCTTATAGGTATGACATCTAGTATAAAACATATATAGTAATATATAGATGAACTACTTAAATTAGATATCAAAAATGCATATGTAGCTAGTTGTAGCCTCTTATATATAGAAGCTTCTAGAGGCATTTGTGTTCAAATACTTAAATAAAAACATTAATTCCTAAAAGCAGAAACTTTAACTTAAAAAAAAAAAAAGTAATAATTATAATATGTAATATAACAATAATTAAATTGATTTTTATTTGTGTAATATAAAAAATCTGTAATATATTAAATCCTATAATTTGTTCACATAAGTTTGATTTACTTAGTTGATTTATCATTCTAATAATTGACCCCAATGCCAAAACAATTAAGACAAAATGAATATAACCAAATTGGAAAGGCATTTTGGGATGCAATGTTTCAGAGTGATGGAACGGGTACCCTTATGTCAAGAAAATCCCGGGCTGAAGATCGCTGAAAATCACTCCGACCCTATCCGAATCCAATAAAATCACAGGATCTCGTGTAACAAAACAAACGCGAAAAACATAAGAAATTGTAAAAAAACGTAAATAACACAAAAATTTACTATTATAACTAACTTCCGACCTCTAAGTAAATGTTTTCAAAATGAAATTTTACTTATAAGATATGATTGTTAATGTTGGATATATGGTGAATTTTTGATATACCACGACCCATATCTTTTTTGCCGTCAGCTCGGGATTTTCTTGACATAAGGAAATTCATTATGGTCCAACCAGTTCTTTTTATCACATGTTTTTAATTAATTTTATTCGCCAACTTTTTTTCTAGCTTTGTACGTATTACTGCTTCCTAGTATAAAACTCATGGAATTCGAACATACTAGCCAACTTATTCGACAGTTAGAAACCATAGATCCTTTAAAAAATGTAGACAATTTTGTTCATTTGTTAAAGCAAATTACAACAGAAGCTCAAGATAGTTCAAAATTTCGGTTTGTAAAAGTTTTTAATATTGCCACGAACGCGAACTTTCGTTAATTTAAGATTCAATATTCATCAGAGAGATTCTGGGACAGAACCCAAAATTTTGGGTAATTATAACAAAAACATGCTTATTAGCTATCGAAAAGTTGATTGTTGGTGAGATTATTGTCATCCCCATTATATTATGGCTTGTTCGTGCGTTCAGGAATATAGTAGCAACTGTAACTGAAAATCAAAACAAAGCCTTGTATGTGTTAACATCAAATTAAGGTCTGATAAATATCAAGATAATGAAAAAATAAAATATACTATTATTTGAATAGAGAACAAGAATGGAATAAAATAATCGAGAATATTTTGTGGTATTGCTTGTCTCAACCTGACTCAGGTGATGACATCCAATGTAAGTAGTTATCTAGAAAAACAACCTCTTGAAATAAAACACGCATTCATAACATAGTTTGGGTAAAATTTTCAAGATGTCACAATTATAAGGTCCGGAATACAAGCATTATCTAATTTGATAACGGGAAACACTTCCATTCAAGAATTTATTTGGTCTGATTTTATGAGTAGAAATGAATCGAATAATCTTTTAAGGTGAATACCCTGAATAAATTATTTATATTATCATGTTTAATAACTATGATAAATCAATTGTATCAATTTCAGCAAACTTGCTGGCCATTATGATAGCATCATTTTGACCGGATGCTTGGTTTTTGTCCACAATTGTATATTTGAAAGCGAGCCTCGCAGGTATTTTCTTCTGATCAATTCAATAGAATATTTCAGGGATACTCGGTATTCTGTTGATATTTGTTTAATTAGAAAGTCTTTAGTGACATCGGGTTCAGGAATGTGCATTTTACAAAGGCTTTTGGACAGAGCTGAGACGCTCCTTGAAGATGAAAGTACACAGAATTTTGAGCTAACGTATGAATCGGTTGTTTATTCAGAAGTATAATTTTACTCGGAAATTAATACAGCACCACTTATCATTTAGATATGCTATTTTCGCTCGAATAATGGAGTCTGACCTTTTTCCACTACTGTTTGATTCATTGAATCCACCATCATCATTGGGGTATGGTATATTTATAGAATGCCTTGTCATTTTATATTGGTTGTTGGTTTAGTATTGCCAATGGTCGTTGGATTAGGTTATTTTAAATATTAATTTATTTAATTTTAGACAATCGCTAGCAAGACGTCAGATCACTCTTCTCAAACTTCTTGATTCCAAGCTCTTTTCCTCAGATTCTGCAAATATTTCTCTTTACTCATGCACTCGTCTCTTACAAATTTTTGATACAATATGCCCACAAGTGATTTTCTCAATGCAACAAGTCAATATTGTCGATCGCGAAAATCAACCACAAGAAATTGAAGATACAAGTATATTATATACTGGATTAGTATTGTTATTACAATGTTTTGGAAAGTTAAGTCAAGATGGAAATGATAAAATACGAGAATGCCTATTCAAAGGAGGGATTATCGCCTCAAGCATTTGTAAGGTTTATTATAACGTAAACCTTTGTTTTTTGTTCATAACTTTATGGCATTAACACATTTAATATAGCTCTTTTGGCTCAAGCTGACAAAACGTTTCCACGTGTAACCAAAGCCACGTCGTCACCGTCTTTGCAGCAAGGAATCTCGGAATTTGCATATATTAAAAGAGATATTATTAGAGTGATCGGAAACATGGCATATGATAATTGCTCTGTTCAAGACGAGGTTTTTAGTTTTACTATAGATAAAAGATTGCATATATACTTGAGCTAAAATTATTATTATGTCTAGGTGCGCAGATTAGGAGGAATTCTGTTAGTTCTGAACCAATGCAACATTGACAATAATAATCCTTGTAAGTAATGAAATAATCGAAGATTTACAAGATCACGAGAAACCAATTTAATTAAAGCTTTCAATTTCTCAGATATTCGGGAACATGCTATATTTGCACTTCGTAATTTGCTAATTAACAATTCTGGAAACCAAAAGCTTGTTAAAGAACTTGAACCAATTGCACCGGTTCAAAATGACGTTCTAAGTGAAATTGGCATTAGAACTGAGTTAGGAAATAATGGTAAAATAAAGTTGACAACTGATTCCAATAAAACGTAATAGACGGAATTGTCTATTATTATCTATCACTGTTCAAATGTTCTAGTAAATGTTTCTTTAGTTTTGGAATCTGTTTAAATTCTTTTGCATTGCATAAATGGCAGTTCATAGGCGATTTTAACAAAGTTTCGTAATAGGATTTATCGATCTATTAAATACAGCGGTGATAAATAACATTGCTAGCAAAGATATACATTTTTTTAAAGACAAACCTTAATTATTCCTTTTTCTTTCAGTAACATTTCTACTTCGTCAGCGTCTTTAAAGAACGAGGTTGTAAATGAATTCCAATGTTTCTTAGTCGATAGCGTCGGAGAAACGAAGTCTTGTGATATCACGTGCATGTGAAGTCGTCTTTTATGATCAAAACTATTAATATTCAATCTCTGAAATAAACGAATACAAGTAAAAAACAAAGATTACTTCAAACTAGGAATCACATGAAATCCCATGCGAAACACCAATTTTGGTTCGTTTTCCTTAAAACTATAAGTAATGTATTAATAAATGTTAACTGTTTATGTATAATAATAAATGTTTTAATTAACACCTACGAATCGATCACCTGTTGCCCTTTTCGTTTCATAGTTTGAATCAAGTTTAGATCCTGTTTTTTCAATTCTTCAAGACTATCAATTTTTAATTGTCTTGGCATGACTAAAAGATGTATTTTTGCCTTTGGATATTTATCCCAAATAATGACAATATTGTCGTCATAAGAATATACTTCTTTATCGGAAAAAATCTCCGGGCGCTCACAATACGGTAAGAGTACATCTCTTCCCCAAGAAAATGTATGCGTTGATGACGATGATCTCGTTGTAGGTTTGGGCGTTGAGGCAGAGTTATGTACTATGCCCATCAACACATCAACTGGTAATAAATACATAACATGAAACGTATATAGCAGAGAATTGCCTAAATAAAATTAGAATTATTAAATTCAATCAACGCTTACAGGCAGATCTTTTTTCTTGCGATTGTTGCCTCCTTGGAGTATACTGTTGACCATTTTTTAACGTCCAGAAGGCGTTCAACATCGATTGATATGATTCTTTAAGGGCATTTTTGGCAACTTCAAGGGAGACTGGATCTGGTCGAGATGGGTTCATGTTAGGAGAAATTACGTATATAATCTGTCGTATTTTTACAAATAATGAGAATTTGGACTTATTTTGCATGAAAATTGGCCACATGATAATTTAGTAATATAACCTGATTTACGCCTTTATAAAATTCACTAGTTGATGGTATAGGTACAGGGTATGCTTCACCAACCTAATTATGCATAACGATAAAAAATAAAATTTAAAATTTACTTGTATTTTTAAATTTTATACGTTTAATTACTCACTATTCCCGGATTTGGATATAACCGTTTCATCTCTTCAAATAATTTTGATCCTATAACTTCGTATAAACTTTTACTCAAAGGTGTCACATCTGACAAAAAGAGAAGTTAATAATGCTAACGTGACAATGTATTTAAGCAATAATGCAGGCAATACATACCGGGTTTTAACCTCCATGTTGATTCGTTTACAATGTATCTATAAAAAATGAAAATAAATATATATATCAAAGACCAAATGAATTAAACCAAAAATTTTAAAACATACTCTATCTCAATTTCAACCATTATTTCAACAAAATCTCCAAGTTTAATTTGAAACCTTGATTCTTCATTTTCTTTAAATTTCTTCCATTCCTACATTACGATTTTTAAAATGCTTAAATCATGTTCTGATACAAAGAAAAGTAAAAATAAACTTTTACCAATTCAAAAATATTTAACACTCGTTCATCTTGATCAATTAAAATCAATTGAAAGTCCCAATCATTTTTATGAGAATTTAAAAATTCTTTTATAACCTTCAGGTTTTAAATTCAAATGCGATATGAGATCAGTCAAATTCGATCAATAAATATCAATATAGAATTGATTTGCTTATCACACTGACTTCACAAGCAATGCGTGCAGCTTCATCGATTGGTATTTGCCCGATGGTTGTAGAGAGTGAAGGAAACCCAAGTTTAATTATATTATTACCACTTGATTTTTTATCATCCTTTGATTTTTTAAAATTAGTATTTAGCATATAATTATCTGAATTAAAAAACTTAATATTGCGAAAAACCTTTCTTTTCAAATTAGGATCAATATTTTGGAAGTTCGTCTCTGAGCTAAATTTTTCAAGGTTATACTCGTTCATTCGAACCGAGTTTTAAGATAAAATTAGGGATGGTAAAAGTCTTGTTCGGTCCTTTTCCAAGAAGTCCGAGTTCGAAACAGTTCCAAGCCAAGTTCGAATAATATTGTGTGAAAGTCACGTCGGAGTTTCAAAGTCACACTCAAGTTTCGAACCCAGTTTCGAACTCAGTCCAAAAACTTTAGGCAGGGGTACCGAAAATTCAATTGCAATTAAATTATTTACACAATCACAATCAATTAAATGTTACAGATAAACAATTGCAAAACAATTAATTGCAATTAATTGCAATTTTTACATAACGATAACGATAATTGAAAAATTGTAACTGCGCCACCAATCAATTAATTGAGGTCAAATAATTGTCCTCACAATCAATTATTCGGTAGCCCTGATTAGTGATGGGACCTCCTGAATAATTAATAATTAATTATTAACAATTGGCCGAGTTATTAACTAATAACTACTTAATAATGTATGGCGCAGAAAAT